CCTCTTACAGTTATTTGAGGGGGGGGGGCATGTTGTCGCAACAACATTAAATTGCACCCCAAATAAAACATTAACCCGTTGAAAAAAATAAAAAAATATCTCCCAAAAAAATCGCCTTTAAGCGACATTTGTTCTCAGGCGTTTACGGTAGAAAGGGCCTTTTTGGGGAGGGGAGACACCTATACACCTCCCTCCTAGTTCGAACGCCCTTGCAGAGGATCAAATTAGTTATTTTCCAGTCAAAAATTATGCTGAACACTTGAAAACTTTGCATTCTAATTTAAGACATTTATATTCCAACGATCTATGTACTTCTAGAATAAATTTTAAATAACGCGAAGGGCTGTTGAGAAGTTGAGAATTAGGGAAAAGTTTTCTGAGAATGTTGGGAATTTATGTCAAAACGGCATTATCAGATGAGGATATAAATAAATGGGTGAAAACTCAAAAATGTTGCAATGAAATTAATTGGCAACATCAGTGGAATGGCTCGCATGAAACTGCACCCACAATGCTCAAATGTTTCACATAGAATTCTGCTTTATGCAGATGGCTGTCCGTCCGTTCACATGGTATTTTTTATATTTTTTTTTCAACACACACATACATACACACGCACACACACACACTCACACACACAACACACACACGCACACACACACACTCACACACACAACACACACACGCACGCACTCACACACACACACATTCGTAAATAATGATTTTGGCATCTGCTGTGATGTTCTTTGCGGGTTTCCTACATTTTAATTAATTTCTGCATTTTCAATTTAGATCAAAGTTTGATTATTAAAAATTAATGAGCGCAGTTCTGACGTATTTTCACGTTCTAACAGAGGTAGGAAGGAATCTTTTTATAGAAGCAGCATAAAAGTTTAATGATGCAGCGCTGAGTTGCGCTGAAAGCAAGAATTCATCACAATCCTCACCTCTTTCGAACATGCGCGCACACTAACACTGAGTTACATCGCGGCTTCTTCACCGTCTTGCAACACAGTATCGACTCGACACGATAACTGAACGAATGAACATCATAATAATATTTCTATGTTTTTCTCTTAATAGCTCGCTAAAAATTAAAAAAACTTTTACAAAAAGTGAACATGCATGCACAACAGCAAATAAGTTTACACTACAATGTTCAAAATTTGTCTTAACCTCAGCGGTGTTTCACAGATAGAGAAATCAGATATAACAAAATAGATCGCCATTCACGGTGACGTCATTCGTACCTGCCTATCTTCGTCGCACTTCCGAATCGATGTAATCTCTATAAATGTTGGTGGACATTAAACACACATCATTTCAAACCCTGGCTTATACAATGGATCAACTCTGAATTTGCAGGTTGGCTCGCACTCAGAAGATGAATCGTCAGTCAGCCAAGTTATCAACGTAGCATCAGATGATCTCCACTGGATTTTTTCGTATCGTCGTAATTCATTGCAGGCTTTCCAAGTGCTGCTCTCTTCATTCTGCTGTCTCAGTGCTCTGCAAAAAAGCTCTTGAAAACCTTTTGAAACCTTTTGAAACATTTTGAGCTATTTATGTTTTTTATATCCTGCTAGAAGTTGTTTACAGAGTAGGAAAATTTATTTTAAAATTGTATCAACAACTTGCAGCATAGTATAGCAGTAGCATTAATACACACACACACACACATATATATATATATTTATAAAAAATAATCAGATAATTTTTTTGACGACGAATGATGTTGACAAAAAGTGGGACTCTTACGTTGTTACCTGGGTCAGACATTGCAAAATTAATTTATCACAATTCATCATCAAGATTTATCATCATCATCATCATCGTCATCATCATCATCATCATTATTTGTAAAATCGCTGCTAGCTCTTTCATTCGTTCTATTAATGCATCAAGTCATCACTGCAATTGTAGATCAATGAGAAGTTTGCCCAGATGTTGTTGGAAAAAGTGTATGAATACTGGGAAGGCAGCGAAATCGCCAAGTGACACGAAGATTTACAGTGACATTTTGGAATGTTCTCGATCGAGTGCGAGAGAACTTGCTACGAACGAATGACCCATTTGAGGGAGGGCATCAGGCATTTCAGCTTTCTGTTGATTGTCACCATTCGAATGTATGTAAGCTTGTGGATCACATCGGCAACCAACATGAGTTCACCGAAAAAAATTGTTAAGTACAATGCAGGGGAACGAAAGAAAGCTGCCAGCAAAATCCAAATACCTCAAACTGGACAAACGTCTAACAGCAATATTGCCATTGCCAGCTTATTACATCATGTCAGGAATGGAATTTTTAAGTCACACTGCATATAATTTGACTTTGGAAGATACATTTTTAAAACTTCTTACCAATTAGTTTAATCAAGTAATAACGTCAACCATTTTGCTTTATTATTGTAATTTTAAAACTTTATTTCCAAAAACTTACGAATATCAATTGAATTTGTTTAGATTTGAGTTTGGCAAACTTTTTTTATATAAAAAGAGACATTCATGCTCTTATTTCTTCAAATTTCACCAACTGCGCCATGCAAGCGCTTCTTGTTTCCGTCGCCATTTTGTTCTGCGCCATTTTGTGGTGCGCGATTTTGTCGGCTCCAGGTCGTCGGTGAAGCATTATCATCACGTCATCACGTTGTCGTCATCATTGCAATTATTGCTTTGCTATCAGCGAGTCCTCAATGTCACATCGTCTCATCATCATTCACCGAGTTATCATTATTTGATTTCTATCATCACATCATTATCGCCAGAGTGTCAGGATCCGACTCTTCCGGTCTCTCAAAAAAATCCGACTTTGATTCCGGATACTCTGATTATCACCAAGTTATCATTATTATTTTGTTATCGTCTCTTCATCATTACATCATCATCTCGGCATCATAACATCAGTTTCATCATAACCATCACAACACAACCCTTAATTTTATTCTTATCATCATCATCATCATCATCATCTTCTTCTTCTTCATAATCATCATCATCATCATCATCATCATCGTCATCATCATCTTCTTCTTCTTCATAATCATCATCATCATCATCATCATCATCATCATCATCATCGTCATCATCATCTTCTTCTTCTTCATAATCATCATCATCATCATCATCATCATCATCATCATCATCATCATCATCGTCATCATCTTCTTCTTCTTCTTCATAATCATCATCATCATTTTCATCATCATCATTATTTTCATTGTCATCACACCTCAGCACCATCACCCTTCCTGCTACATACCCCCTCCCTCTCATCCTCCAACCATGAAAACCTTTCCTCCATCCTGATGATGAGGAACAATGTAAGTAGTTGGGTGACTATTTTGATGACGATAGTGATGATGATGAAAAATATAGCAATGATAATTTGACGATGATGGTGATAGTAACTTGTCACCGAGATAGCTCAGTCAATAGAAGTGCCATGTCTCGCGCTTCTGTTACGCGATGGCATGGTTCGAATACTGTCTATCCGAAACTCAAAGACCATCATAGGCGTACGATGTGGTGTGGCGTGGTATGGTGTGGCATGGTGTGGATAAACACGATGGCTTAATTACAGGTGCAAAATAGCATGTAGACAGTTCTGCGTTTGACAGAGTTGCAGTATGAGGAATTAAAAAATGACGATGGTGGGTGGAGAGTTTTGTGGGTGACTTGTAGATTTAGAATCTCAAAGAAGTGACCCACCAACAAATTATAAGCAGCAGAGTAAGTAAAATAAATTAAATTTTTTTTTTAATAAAAAAAACTACTTGTAAATAAATGGTGCTGAATGAATGAGCGAAGGAATGAATGAATGAATGAGTGAAAGGATGAATGAAACAGTGATGGAGTGAATGACCGACAAAAGAATATATTGAGCATTTTTTAATCAATATAAATCTTGTCCTGGCTTTATCTTGAGCCATTGTTACGATCTGAATGCAAGTTTATTTTTAATAATATTTCAGTGGGGAGTGATGAATGATGAGGGGTGGATGGCGAATGGCGAATGATGAGGGGTGGAAGACGTATGGTGGCAGTGGCGGATGTAGACAACGTTGACGGGGGAGCAAAGATTTTGAAAAATATTTGTTTGACGACTAGTTGGGGCCAAAATTTTAACGGGAGGTGGTCAACTTTCCTGCTGATAAACTTATAACGTCAACTTTCTCATAAAAACACCACTTTTTCTTTCAATACAACGATTTTTACTAACTTTTAACACAAGTAACGCTCACAACGGGAGGCCCGGCCCCATAGATTCGCCACTGGTTGGTGGGTAAGGGGATGATAGATTATTGGCAGACACTTTCATCGTATATTGTAATGAAGGATATTTCTAAATAGTCATTATTAGAAGTCACAAGCAGTTGCTCGTTGTTTGGTGGCAGAGGTTGACGACAAATAATTTGAAATAATTTTTCTTCTCGTTAATATTATTGGATCTTGTGAGATTGTGAACCAGCCTCTTATGAAAATATCGCAGCAACCATCTTTGAGTTTTTCAGGAAAAAATTTCACCGCGTACTTATTTGCGATACATTCTCACATGACTGGTAACAGAAAATGAAAAATTTTTCATCAGGACCTTCGGTGTGTTCACATAAAAATGTGTCAGCCTTAAAAGCAGAAAAATATCAGCTCGCCTGGTTCGTTCGTACGAAGCAATGTTGGCCAACTGATTTATAGGTTTGCCGCAAGTATGTGCAGTGCATACGAGCGAACGTAACGAATGGATTTTGTTTTCTTCTGAATAATTTTATTTAAGTTTCTTTGTGACTGTGGAAATTATTTATTTTGTACGTGAGAATTTTCGCTGGTGCCTAACATTAAGAAGTAATTGAGGCTTGGAAGTTGTGAGAAACCTCAAAGTTTGTTTGAAGTTAAAAATTTTCTGCTTCAATCAAAAATTATTTTTTCAAATTAAAAAAAACTTTTCCAAGAAGTTAAAAAAATGTTGCTACATGCGTTCACAGAAATTGTAAATAGATCTCATAATGATGTGTCCTGTTGAGCTGAAGAATTACAACTCAGCCAACAAAAGTGAGTGTGAGGTCAGTCAAACTTTGAGAATAATATCGGTCCACTTTTTCAACTTTTCCAATCTTTTCAACATCAAATTTTCAAATGTGGACTTGTACAAGCTTGTGAGGCTGATAGTTCATCTGATCGCTCTATTCAAAAGTAACAGATCTTGAATTGTTGTCATCATATTTCTTCTTTCGTTTCGCTACGATCATAAAAACTGTATCTTAGTATTTTTGTTTAGTTAATCTGATTATAAATTTTTACTTTAAAATTCATGGAAACAAAATGGTGTCTGAAAATTCGTATGTTAAATCATCTATAATATTTTCGTACTTAAAAAACATCAATTTTTTTTAAATGAGATTCAATCCATGAATATAACAACAAATTAGAATCAAAAACCTCTCAATTGTGTCACTAATTTAAACCAATGTTACCAACTAAGCAATATCGAGAACCTATCGTTGTTTGATTAAAAAAAGAGATGGAACTGTTTGGATGCATTAACTTCCTTACCTCAGTTTTCGTTTAAGCAGCATTTAACGAAGAACAAAAATTACGCTCTTCTCAAAAGCTCACACAATATTCATTAGTAATTATTTGAATTAAGCTTCTATTTTTTAAAACTCATTCAATTGTGTTCATGAGGTGTTTAATGTCGTCAAAAATAAAATTGTTCCACAGGATCGGTTGGATGCAGGCGTTGAGTGTTTCATTGCGAGTATCTCTGAATGAACATCCGCCCTGCTTGACGCTGCTGAAGAATTTTTTGAAGTGTTGATGATTTTGTTAAGGCAAACTGTTTTAATGGAATGTTAAATTTTTATTAATCTTTGGTCAAGACAGTTACAAACAAACTGGAGGCATTCTAATTGCAATCAATGACTCCGAACAATTTTTAATTTTCATTCCGAACTGTTTTACAAATAAAAAAATTGATCCAGATGTTTTAGACAAACAATCATCAAAGAATCTATTAGAAAAGGACGCCCTTCGTGGTTCAGCAACCTTTGCGGAGAAAGTTAATTCAGGCCAACATGTCGAAAACTGTTTCCAAGAGACCGACCCAACATCTGGAAGATACGATGCAGAAGGCACCAAAGAAAACATGGTTGAAGTTGATCGATGTTTTCTTAATAAAATGTTAGGTTTTCTATTGCATTTATGGTTTAAAAAATGTTCTTTCACAACTTTTATGTCTCCTCCTCCTCCTGCACTCTATCCAGTTTGTCTCTACTTCTTTCAAAACCTTGTCTATATATCGAAATCAAAATGAAAAAAAAGAGAATAAATTTTTAACAGTTCCAGAGATTGTGAAATTAAATTTTCAAAAGTTTACATCCTTTTGTGTTTGGCAAAAAGACCTTTAACACATTTTTATAATCCAACTACAGGTCAATTTTATTCAATTTTTCGATAGCTTCTAAAAGCAATGTATCTGAGCGTTTTAACAAGTAGAAATCTGATTAAACAGTTCAAGTGGAGTACTTACGTGGGAAACCACAAAATGTGTTTGAATGCCCCTTCACGTAAAATCTGCATCATCCACTTTGGGTTTTTTAATCGCTAGAGTTCGTTAAAATGTTTGCCACCTTCAGAAGTTTAACATGAATTTAAATGAGAAAAATAGTAATTAGACTTGATGATATTTTTATTACAATTATGTTTTAATTGTTTTACTTTGAATATATATTAAAACAAATTCCTATATGACCATCAAAAATATAATGAAACATTACACATTTTTTTCGTCACCAAATAAAATTATATCAGTCACCATCTGTCAACTTTGACATGGGATCATTTTCGAATTTTTTTTTAATTTCAACGGTAAGTACCTCAATGTATTTCATCAACAAAATAAATTTTATAAAGAAATTTTTCAAATATATTACAAATTATGAAGATTTTTTTGACACCACACTTCAGTTTTTGAGTCATTTTTTTCTAAAATTGTACCCATGTGGAACGACATATCTCTCAGACTAGCCAATATATCTCGATGAAATATCTTATACATATAAACAAAACATAGTAATAACAAAACAAATTAAAATTATTGTTTGGATTCAAAAATTTTTTTAGAGAAAATTTTGAAAAAATTGAATTTTGTGAAAATTTTCACGTTTTTGAAGCGTCGGAGCTACAAATCTACTGCAGAATAAATAATTGTTTTATTGTATATTTAAAGAACTTTATAGTCTTAACTGATAAACAAAGTTTGGTTGAAATCTCTTTTCAATTTTTTGAGCTTTTCAATTTTGGTCTTCAAAATGTCAAAAAACTTTTTTTGTTTGGCGCCATTTTTAGCCATGAATAACCAAATTTTCTTACTCAATCAACTTCCGCCAAGAAATTACAAAAACCAATTAAGAAAATGCCACTGAGCATTTGCATGTATAGCTATGTAAACTATGTAAATAGCTATAGCTTTGTAAAATGCTACTGACCATTTGCATGTGTAATTAGCTTAAGGATCTTAGTAAAGACCATTACTTTTCAGTGATTTAAACTTGCTGTGTCACTAAATCTTTCGAAGTTTCAAACTCGATTTGGTCTTCGTCTTGGAGGCCAACGTATCTAGTGGATGAATAAATGGGGAGACTCATTGTGCGTGAAATAAGATTCGCAAAAAAATTATCATCTCGACGGTGAACACTGGTGGAAAGGCTGGAAACAAATAAAAGTTTTAAAATCAAGATTTCATCTGCAAGCCTCTGAAATTATTATTGCCGGTGACAAAATTTAAAAATTGATTGGAATTTTTAATCGTCGCAGAATGCAAAGCAATGCAAACGCAATATCGTTAAAATATCTTTTAAGATTTAAAATAGACAACATCTCATTTTAAAAGAGGACTTACATTTGAATTATATGAATTAATAATTAATTCAGCAAATGTTTTCTGATGGATTAATTATTTTGGTTTATGAATTTAATATTATCCTTTAAAAATCATTTTTTCTGACAAAGTAAAAATATTAAAATATTTTTTAGGGTCTAGATCTTCTGAAGACGTTTATTGTTGTTCAATTTAAAATTGGGTTTTTTCATTTTTGGAGCGACCAATTTGAAACTTACCGGAGGAAAAAAAATTTAAAGACCCGTCTGGGTGGGGTTGGAACGTGGAAGCGTTGCATCTCTCACTTCTCAGGTTTCATTTTTGACGTAAGGATTGAAATTAACAAAAATCTCCAATCCAATCACTCTAACCTTAAACAAAAATTTTTTTTATTAGAAAAAATCATTCGCATTATTTGCCAAAAAATTGAATACATAATAAAATAAATTTGTTTCTATAAAAATCATTTATCATTATTCAAATATCATCAGTATCATTGTTTAGAGTTGCTAAAATAATTTATTTGATAAAAAGTTGAATGCCTTAGGTTTCATAAAATTAACTGAAACATTCAAACTGTGATGATTAATTACAAGAATTTTGTTGAAATTTTTCTCAGAAGCTGTACATTAAAATGATTCTCATTTTGAAGAGCTATTGAGTTCAATTCAAATTTAATATTCTGTAACAAATTTGAAACATTACAACTGAATTGTTCATCGGAGTTCGACATGGCATAAAAAACTGCAAGGTAACGAACACGTGAGGACAAAACACTGTGACAATAATTTAAAAAAAAAAGAAGTTAATTTTGAAGTCAGCACTCTTGGCTTCTGTTTAATTGTCGATCAATGAACTGCTTCATTGGTGATTTGAGTGACCGTGAATATTGGATCTGCCACGGGCTGGCCACCAAACTCATCCTTACAAACATTGCTGTCAACAGTTTTGCACCTATCATCGTGATTCATGCAAGGAAGGATGCCGTTGCTACTGCTGCTCTGTGAGTTTTTGTGGATGTTATTTTTGGAGACATTTTTAAAATTGTTGCGCTCCTTCTTACTGGAACATGACGGCGTCATTTTGAATTTGTTGAAAACGAATTCATGAGAAGCCAAGCGTGGCAAAGTGTTTATGTCCATATCGGTGCATGTAATTCGATTATCGGGCGATATGTCTACAAACTGTTGTGGTTGTTGCGGTTGTTGCGATTGTTGTTGTTGTTGTTGTTGTTTAAAACTAAGTTGTTGTCGGTTGAAGTGGTACTGTTGCTGGCAGCATTGCGGCATCTTGTAGAAATCTTCATGAACAAACATTAATTCATTTCAATCATCTTAAAAAACTAATTATCGAATAATAATAAACTTAATTCATTGTTAATTATATTTCTAGCCTCTTTAAATTTTTCAAATAAATTAATTTTTTGCCTCAGTCCAGCATATCATTTTATAGAATAGATTTTATATAATCAAACGAGATCATCCCACGGAGACATCAACACGTCCGCTCCATTTCTCAGCCGCTCACTTAACGAGTGATTTGAAGACAAAATTTCTCAAACCCAAATTCTGCAACTTTTCTAGTCGCTCCATTGGACATTTTATTCATGTAAAAAATATTTCTTGAACATTTTTACCAAATTTATTTATTTCCACGCAACTTGACACGACAATTTTCATTACTTTCAACAAACCAACTCAATTCTGTTGGATACATTCGTGCAAACATTCTGCATTGTTTAACTTTTGTTTCACATTCGATCTTCAGTATGCAAAGAAGGAGTGCCTCATCTGTTTGAACTTGGCTAAACATTTTTCGTCCTAATAAGCTGGTTGATTTTTAAATAGCTATTTTATTGAACCGCCAGATTGATTTTTGAAAATAACTTTATACACAAAATTTCACAAATAACTCATTTCAAGCATTTTAAAACGTTTGAAATCAATAGCCATCTATGCCGAAACAAAATTTTCTATCAAAATTTTAAAAATAGTCGAAAAATAAGGCTAAGACTGCGATAGTTATGCAGCCTTCTTAATTTTATCGTTTGGTTCATGTAAGAATTTTTTTCAAAAAGTGAGAAATTAAGACAAATATTGTTTATAAAAGTCACCCGAATGTTGTAAGGAGAGGAGGTCAGTGATGTTGCACTGAGGGTCGTTCGGTGGGTGTGGGGGTGGGGGTGGGGGTGGGGGTGTGGGAGTGGTGAGGAGGAGGTCGACGTTGGAAGGAGAGGCGAAGTTGATTCGTTCGTAGTTGAGGGACGCTGCCTGTGGTTGTCGGCTGCCGAGTTGTGCATTGAAAGCGAGGGGATTGGAGTTGCGTTGGTAGTGATGAAGGAAGGTGTGGATGTTGTTGTGGTCATTCGGTGTGGTGGCCACTCGATCGCCTGGTGGCTTGCAGTGTTGCTGGTGCATTTGCTGGCTCTGCTGGTACAGGTGCTGATGTTTCGAATTGTTCTGTTGAAGATGCTGCTGTCGGTAGATGGCCACTCCGTCCTCATACTTGTCCTGCCTCCTGTGAATGTTATACAAATCTGTCGTTGCGGTTCAGATTCTGAACAGAAATTATTTAAGACAAATTTCTTACAAGGTTTGTAGGTTTTGAAATGGGTAATATAAATAATTTATTGTAATTTAATTGAAAAAGCAACTCAGAAATGATTATGAACATAAATTCGAACCGACCTAATGAATCCAATGATGAGGACGATGCCTGCTGCAATGAACACTCCTATCACAGCTCCTATCGCTATGGCCAGACCTTCAAAAGTGTTAAACGCTATTTTTAAAATATTAAATTTTGTTAAACGAATGGAAAATGCTTTAAATGTTAAATTAAATGATTTTGTTACGTTAATTTTGATGTAAGAATGCTTAAAGCTAAAATCTTTTCAAGCAATGGTTGTAACAGTTTCAGGCAAAGACTAGTCTCGAGTCGAGGCAACGCAAGAACTCCACTGCACGGCCTCGCCTTGAATAACGAAACTTATACCTCTCTCATATATTTTTAAATTTTTTACAGTTGTTGAAAATAGAATTTGATTTACTTTCAGCTTCAGGAAAAAAATCAAAAAATATGAAACCAATTCAGAGGTAAATAATTTTCATTCCATCAAATTTTTTCCATTTGTGTGCAATACATTTTTTTGTTATTCTTCACCTTGTGAAATTGATCGGTTTAAATATTTTTGTTCTGCTCGGAACTTCAGTTACAGGAATTAACTCTCAATAAAATATTCAGAATAAGTATGTTATAAAAACTGAGCCGAGGGATAGTTTAGCGGTAAAGTGTTTGATCGCAGTTTTGCAGTGGTTACGTTCGAATGCATTCCCGTCTCTTATGAACATTTATGTCTTGTTTTTTCAAACACGTGCTTAGTAAGCATAACTCACATACAAGCTGTGTGAATGTTATGAGTTAAACTCAAAAGCACCACGGAAGTAATTTAAAACATTTTTTTTCAAATGAAGTTAATTAAATTTCTGCAACTGTTTATGTTCGCCTCAATGTTTTTTTTCAGTAATATATATATATATATAATATAATGTTACGTAATGTGATGTGATTCAATTTAAAGCAATCTTATGTAATGCATTGTAATGTAATATATTGTAATATAATATAATGTAATGTAATGAAGTGCAACGTAATGTTAATGTAATATGATGTAATGTAATACCCGTGTGGTGTAAACTATTAATAATATAATGTACTTTAATGTGAAATAAACTAGATTTTTAAGCCGCGATGAAAGCTTACACAACGTACTGACATATTCGCAGCGAAGCACCGCGTAATTGAGTAGGACCAACAGTTTGTAAACAGCTCCAGTTCAAACACGTTTCGTTCCTATCAGGCAGCTCAAATTGTGAGCTTTCATATCAAGTGTTGTTGTTTGTTACTATAATTAACATTTCCCAGGTGTGTATTTTATTCAATATTTTATTGAAACTTTTGACATGTCAGGCAAGATTAATTTAAAAAATTGTGAACTTTAAATAAATTTATTATATTTATTTAAAACAAATTTAAATAAACGTTAATCAAGCAGCGCAGAGCAAAAGTAAACGAAGAATTTCGTTTCCACGCAAATTTTTAATTTAGCTGGCAGCATATTGAGCTGAAATAAAACTGAAATGATATGTTAATGCATTCCTCCAGGCCACATAAATTTCACTGAAATCCGCGCCCATTTCTTCAATTTTTCCACTGTATTTTTTTTATTATTTTCATTGTTCGAATGTTCAAACATTTCAAAAAAATTTCAAAAAATGTTTTGTTTACAATAAATCATTTGTATAAACATGAAAGTTTTTAACTGAGCTGATCCTCTAAACATGAGACCACCAACAACTTAATCCATCATCGGTCCTTGAATCCTCCAACGTTGTTATCATCACTTGCCAACTCTTCTCTTGCACAAAGCAATCTCAACCTTACTGCAACGAGCTCACTTTCTTGTTATGACCAATTTCAATACCGACCGGGATATATGGAAATCAATTTTTATAAACTCATTTACCTTTCTACAAATGATTTCGCTGAAAAATAAGTTTCAACCATTCCTCTCCCTCCAGCGTTCATTGCCTCGCGAGCCTTCAAATAACAACTCCAGTGCCCCCTTCGATGGAGCATTCGAATTTCCAAAGTTTTCACGGGCAAAAGCCCATCAGTGGTCTGCTCATTGTGAAATTTCATTCTCAGGTACAATTAAAAAAACGAACCATTTACAATAATAACAATAAGAAGAAGAAGAAAAAAAAGAGGAATAAGTAGAATGATAATAAGAAGAAGAAAAAAAGAAGAGGAATAAGTAGAATAATAATAAGAAGAAGGAGAAGAAGAAAAAGAAGTGTTTTACTGTTTTTATTTAACTTATGATTGTGATTTCTAAAAATTAACATTCTCCGGAGATTTATACAGTTTAAAAAAGTCCATAAGAGTGTTGCTTTGCTGGGCTCTCCGCGTCTGAGTGTGATGTATGTCGGAGAACAATGGCAGTAGTAATAAAATAATGAGAATATTATCGATGGAAAGATTCTCATTCGAAATATTAACAATGGAAATAATGAAAATAATAATAATAATAATAGAATAAAAAGAATCATCATCATCATCGGAATACTAAATAAGAACTGACCATATGAGATGACTGCTTCTCCTGCTCCATTCAACTGTCCTGCACCAACATCCACTCCTGTTCGTTCGATCGTTTGTTTGTTCGTTTGTTTGTTTGTTCTGTTTGTTTATTTTGTTTGTTTGTTTGTTTGTTTGTTCGTTCGTTTGTTTGTTTGTTTGTTTCGTTTGCATGTTTGTTTGTTTGTTCGTTCATGATGCCACTACAACGTCAATTACAAAAATGTTTGCATTGAAAATATATTAAGTAGAGTCATTCAGCGTAGCATGCAAATGAATAATGCACCTCTCATCAATTTTAATATTTAAAAATTTAGCCAAAAACAATAATCAACTAATTATAAAAAATTAAATCTTTCGGCAGTTATACATTGAGCAAATCATCCAACGCTAGGGTAGGCTGCAAATAATAAATTAAGTAAAAAAAAGTCTATTCCATCATATGTTATCTAAGAAATTGAAATGACGCTGGTGTCATTACGTCATGAAATTATCAATGTAGGGCCGGACCTCCGTATAACAAATTCGATGGTTCCAGGAAAAATATTCCTTATATAGAAATTTCGTTATATAGAATTTGTTTCGGGAAAAGATTCTACATTGCTTAATAGTTGCTTATATCCCGTATATTTATGAAAGAAACAAACAAATTCGTTATATAGAAATTTTCGTTGTATAGAAGTTTGCTATAAGAAGGTCCGACTGTATATTGGTTCCTGAAAGAGCAATAGTTTGCAACGAACTTGAACCGGCATTTGAACAGTTCCCATGAACGCCCACCCATCGCCCACCCACACACTTCAAAATCCATCGCGGCCCATTCTCCTTCTTCATGTTTTGTTCTTTGTTTTTACTGTTGTTGTTGTTGTTATTGTTGTTGTTGTTTTTGTTGTTTTTATTGACCACGTGATTGCTTTGAAGGTGGTTCTCAAGTTTATTGTTGGAGGCAGCTTGGATGCAACCGACCACGACCTCGTTGGGGCTCGTCCTGCTGAACCAAATGTTCGGGTGGGAGGTTGGGGAGGGATCAACACAGCCTGTAACTGGAGGTGGTTAGTTGGATGATTGGTTGGTTGGTTAGATGGTTGGTTGGATGGATGGTTGGTTGGTCGGTCGGTTGGTCGGTTGGTTAGTTGGATGGTTGGTTGTTGATTGGTTGGTTGGTTAGTTTGATGGATAGTTGGTTAGTTGGTTGGATGGTTGGTTGGTTGAAATGGTTGGTCGTTTAGATGGTTGGTTGGTTGGTTGGTGGGGTGATCGCAAAGAGTAAATGAATAATGACGGCAGTGATGAAATAACTAATAGATATATATGACGATGCAGTAAAACGAAGCACTGATGATTTGGTGATGTTGAATATTTTCGAGCATTTGTGAGCCCACGCAGTTGTGATGGAGATGGAATGGGGTAGAAACAATGGTTGAAATGATGCTGGTGGAAGTGTCATCCTAATTGATTCAGTCTGGGCGTTAATAATATGGTAATTACGTAGGTTACATTACGATGGTGAAAATTATGATGGTGATAACACAATTTGACGTCACTACTCGTCTAGATGGATGATAACATAAAAAAGTAGAAGCATTTGATAGTAGGATGAATGATGGAATGTGCTTGACAACGAAGGAGGCATTAAACTATTTGAATTGAAGGAGGAAGATAACAATGGAAAATTGCAAATGAAACTTTTTAGGAAGATGGATAAAAGTTGCAAACCGTTTTCAATACCGCTTCTTGAAAATTATTTCCTCCATATAAAAGGGACAAACAAATTCGTTATATAGAGATATTCGTTGTATAGAAGTTTGCTATAAGGAGGTCCGACGGTGTATTTAGTCCTGAAAGAGCAATAGTTTTCAACAAACTTGAGCCTCCTTCCTATGATGGTGGAAAGTTGATGCTGAAGAAAATTAAAATAATAAAAATTATAATGCTGACAGACTCACGAGCCGAGATTTTTAATCAAAAGAATCCTGCTAGGCTGATAACGACTACGGAAAATGTTGCTATAACGAACAATGGTAGAACCAGCGTGAAATGGAAAAAAACATGTGAAATCTAAACAAAAACTGGTGAAAATAATTCATATGTAAAGAACACTACAAAGATGCAACAAAATCATTCATTGAAGAAGCGAATATGTCATGTTTAAAAGTAAGTTTATCTGCTTTGGGCTGTGAGCGGTCCAAGTCAGGATGAAACTTGTAGTGGAGAACATTGACTGCACTGAAACGGATGATGATGACTCAGATGAATGAACTCAGGGCCGGCTTTAGGGCATAGGCAAACTAGGCAGTAACCTAAAGCCTCCAATTTTTAGGGGCCTCGCAA